AAACCGTAAAAATGAGAGACTCGATATTGTTAAAATACAAAGGAGTCTACAAAACAGCTGCTTCAACACACCATCATTGGAGATCAGAATGGGCAGCAAGTGTTCCAGATCAGTTTATGAAAATCTATGTTAAAGAAATCCATTAAACAGTAAATCAAACTTTTACTCTCAGCTAATTCATCCATGTTGTTATTTTTACCATGCGTTCCAGAAATGTTCTACGAGGACGTGTATTTAGCTATATAAAATTAATTATGTTTATTTTACAAGTACTAATGAAATGGGGAAAACACTTTTTTTAAAAGTAAAAATTAGCCAAGTACCTAGAAATAATTATCCAGTTTTATTTGTACAGTTCATAATATTCCTAAATGTAGTTAAAGAAACCCATCGATCACCAGTAAATGATAATAATCCCATTACCACAATATTGTCCTAATTTCGGCTACTGAACTCCGCGAACACTCGGTAAATTATTGCCGCTGCCCATTCAACTTCCTGAACCAGTAGGAGAACGCCGTTAGGGAGACCAAAACTACCGAACAAGGGGAACATTCGTATGCTAGCAGCCAGGGGAAGCCTTCATTGGCATTCGTGAAAGAACTCTCAAAAGAAGACCAGTCAAAGCCTGAAATCCTCTGGAACTATTTTGGGGCTTCACCTCATGGTCGACTGGTCTAAACTTCACTTGAATGACTTTCCTAATCTACCGAACGGATCTGAGTGGTATTTGGACAAAGTGGATGCTCAGATCCCTGCTATTCGGTGAACTAACTTTCGTGAAGTTCTGAGATATTAATATATATGTTATATGGTTTTACAATGTTGTATATTTTCTGTACCTGGAATATAATATAATTAAAGAGTTGTTCTTACTCAATTATCTCCCAGGTACAGAGGAGGAGTCTGAGGAAATGTTGCTTTGTCCCCTGTCCCCAACAAGGTCCACCAGTGGAATGTCATTTAAGAAACCCCTTGCATGAGGAGTTGCATAAAAGCCAGCTGTGACTGAATAAAAATCAGTTGACTCCCAGAAATGTGTGTCGTCCAGTTACTGGAGGGATTGTGCCTTGGATATTGTATTGCTTCTTCAGCTACAAGGAATCTACAATGGAGATATTTATGCTGAATATTGGAGCTCCGCTACATATACAATATCTCTTTTGTACTGACCAGATGAGAATAAGGTGGAGGCGATATCCCCTTTGCAGTATGTGTAACATAAAGCAACAATTTAAAAAGTAAGACATGATGTGGGCGGTGCTGGGCCGCTATGCTGATTAGTCGCATAGAATAACTGCTCCCAAGATTTTCCAATTTTTTGGTCCAAAAAAGCAAATTGAATCCTCACCTTATACCGAGAAGCAGCAGCCAACTGCACTAAGATATGCTGGTCTGGATTCTCGGCCCAAAACTCGTCTTTTGGCCATTTACAGGGAGATATAAAAACCGCAGTGACTGAGGCCTATTCAGGTGGTGACTAGTTTGGACGGCCGCCGCCCTGCTATACTGCCTGTCTGCAACGCAACGGACCCTTCGATCCACGTGGCACTGGCCCTTCTCCCCCCT